GCAGAGAGATTTTATCAACACAAATCTGATCAAATCAACCACAAACTTGTAGGGCCTAGTCCCATCCACACCTGCCCTTCCTTCATTTTTAAAAATATATTTTCATTGACTTAGGAAGGTAGAGGAGGAGAGAGAGATAGAAACATCAGTGATGAAAGAGAATCATTGACCGGCTGCCTCCTGCATGCTCCACATTGGGGATCAAGCTCGCAACCCGGGCATGTGCCCTGACTGAGAATCAAACCATTGCCTCCTGGTTCATAGGTCAATGTGCAACCACTGAGCCATGCTGGCTGGGCTGTAATCTAATTTTAAAACTTAATATACTGTGGACATTTTAATATATTCTATACTCTTAAAAGCTGCACAAAGTCTGAACAATAATAGGAAATAATTTCCAGTGTATTGATATTAAAAACAATACTGTGATGGAAATCTTTTTGAAATTTAGTTTTATTTATTTATTTATCTATCCTCCTCGTCTTATACGCCGGCAAATACGGTATATTGACAATATAGAATGACATGAAGAAAACTTCCCACTTCTTGAAGTGACTATTATTAATGTGGACATTTCAATGTATATAGTAATTATTTTTTTAAAAAAGCCCTTAAATACTTTCTTTTAAAAAATTTTACATACATGCAGGAAAATGCATAAATTATAAATGTACCACTCGATGAAATGATTATACTGTGTAATCAGCCCCTAGATCAGCCGTGGGCAAACTATGGCCCACAGGCCGGATCCGGCCCGTTTGAAATGAATAAAACTAAAAAAAAAAAAGACCGTATCCTTTTATATAATGATGTTTACTTTGAATTTATATTAGTTCACACAAACCCTCCATCCATGCTTTTATTCCGGCCCTCCGGTCCAGTTTAAGAACCCATTGTGGCCCTCGAGTCAAAAAGTTTGCCCACCCCTGCCCTAGATCAATAAACAGAATCTCCCTTTGCCTCCAAACCACCAGGGTAACTACTATCCTGTCTTCTAACACCATAGATTAAGTTTGCTTGTTGTTGTTTGTTTGTTGCTTTTTATTTCAGAGAGAGGAAGGGAGAGGTCAAGAGAGATAGAAACAGCAATGATGAGAATCATTGATTGGCTGCCTCCTGCACGCCACCTACTGGGGATCAAGCCCAAAACTTGGGCATATGCCCTGACTGGGAATTGAACCATGACCTCCTGGTTCATGGGTCCATGCTCAATCTCTGAATCACACTGGTCGGGCTAGTTTTGCTTGTTTTTGAACTTTAAATGAATTGAATCTCACAGTTACATTATTTTTAATCTAATTTTCTTTTTTCTTTTAAAATATATATATTTTTTATGGGTTTCAGAGAGGAAGGTAGAGGAGGAGAGAGAGATAGAAACATCAGTGATGAAAGAGAATCATTGACCGGCTGCCTCCTGCATGCTCCACATTGGGGGTCAAGCCCGCAAACCGGGCATGTGCCCCGTGAGAATCAAGAACCACCATCTCCTGGTTCATAGGTCGACACTCAACCACTGAACCACGCTGGCCGGGAGTAAACTTAAAATTTAATGAAAAGATAAATACCTTCTTAGAAGCATTATAATGTGGATAAGATGGAACCTGAACCAGACAGAATATACAAGCAACAGAGCTCAAGGATGGGAACGTATACAATCTGAAGGTGGAAGCATGGAGCGCATTTGAGTGAGCACAAAACTGAGCACTGCCCTTTATTGATTTCAGAGAGGAAGGGAAAGGGAGAGAGATAGAACATCAATGATGAGAGAGAATCATTGATCATCTGCCTCTGGCATGCCCCCTAGTGGGGATCAAGCCCATAACTGGGCATGTGCCCTGACTGAGAATCAAACCGGCAACCTTTTGGTGCAAGGGGCAATGCTCAACCTAGTGAGCCACATAGGCCAGGCCTGAAATTTAGTTTTTTAAACAGAATGCCTGGGTGCAAAATTTCTTATTTGATGAGTAGATATGTTTTTCAGGCTCTTAACACATAATGCATATCCCTTGTCTACAACTCTGAAATCCAAAAAGTTCTGAAAATTTAAAATTCTTCATACGTTTGTGGCTATTTATAGTCTTTTCCCAAAAGTTTTGAAAATTGAAAAATCTTCATAAAGCTGTAGCTAGTCTTTATTCCACTGGAATGTGTTTGATTGTGGATTGCTTTTGAGGTGTTTTATAATATATGGAAAATGTTCTATATTGCCTTTCTATAATCAGAAAAAAATCCAAATTACAACTTTTAATCTTTTCTCAGAATTTTCTGATAAGGCTTGTGGATCTGCACCAATTTACACCCTCATCAACAGTGTGTAAGAGAAAGGCCCAATTCCTTATACCTTTACTGAATATTATTCTTTTTAAACTTTTAAAAAATATTTTTATTGATTTCAGAGAGGAAGGGAAAGGGATAGAAAGATAGAAACATCAATGATGAGAGAGAATCATTGATCGGCTGCCTCCTGCTTGCCCCGTACTGAGGATCGAGCCCACAACCTGGGCATGTGCCCTTGACTGGAATCAAACCTGGGACCCTTCAGTCCACAGACTGATGCTCTATCCACTGAGCCAAACCAGCTAGGGCTATTCTTTTTAAACTTTACTAACTGGAGAGTAAACCAAAAAACATTTTTAATTTATATATTTTTAAAATTTATATATTTAAAAAATTTTCATTTTGTCTGTGGAATGGCATTCAAGTCTATGGTAGATGGTATTTTTGTTTGAAACTATCACTCAACTTCCTTCTATGCCTTCAATTTCCCTGCCCTGTTGACTTTGCACTTTGGCCATGTAGGTGGTTCACTCCTCCTGGTTTGTTGGTAACTTTCCTGCTTTTGAAAGTGAAAGTCCCTCATCCTAGGAACCCTTTTAATTCTGAGTATACCAGAGAGGTTGGGCATTTTCTTTGATCATGTGGTTTGTTTTGTCCTAAGGGTTATTAGTGAATATTACATATGTCTTGAAGCAGAAATTTTCAATGCAGTGGCATGATTTGGTTCAGCCTCTCTTATGCTTCTGCCCTGTGTCATGAGAACTGCCTGCCCCATTTAGGGATTTATCCTTCAGCCTGGGGTCCTGAGAATGCACAGAGCAGACACACAACTGACCCACAGCCCCACATAACATGAGGGAGAACTCAGCGAATGTTTTGTAAGTCACTGAGATTTTAGGGTTGTTTGGTGTGCAGCAAAATTGACTAATTCCATGTATTGTGCCAATTTTCCTTTCAATTTTATTTTATTTATTTTTTAAAAATATATTTTTATTGATTTCAGAAAAGAAGGCAGAGGGAGAGTGAGATAGAAACATGAATGATGAGAGAGAATAATTGATTCGCTGCCTCCTGCACACCTCCCACTGGGGATCTGCACCAATTTACACCCTAACCCAGGGCTGTAACCTTGACCTGAATCAAACCCAGACCCTTCAGTCCGTAGGCTGACTCTCTATCCACTGAGTCAAACCGGCTAGGGCTTCCTTTCAATTTTAAAATGATTTTCAATAATACTTGATGTAAAGTATATTAATCTATAGTTATATGTATATATTTTTACTCTTTGAAATTCATCTTAATATTACCTCTGTTAGTTGCTGATCAATTTCAATTTACCATTTATATGATTAAATGTATCAACTGTTTCTTTATGGTTTCTGCCTTTGATATCACCTTTAGGTTTCTCCTCCTCAGAAATGGTTAAATATTCATCTGTTTTCTTCTGGAACTTTTATAGCTTCACTTTTATTTTAACACTAGAGGCCCAGTGCATGAAATTTATGCAGGGTGGGGGGGCGACCCTCAGCCCCGCTTGCACCCTCTCCGATCTAGGACCCCTTGGGGAATGTCCGACTGCTGGTTTAGGCCTTATCCCGCAGTTGGACACCCTCTTGTAATCTGGGACCGCTGGCTCCTAACTGCTCGCCTGTCTGCCTGCCTGATCGCCCCTAACCACCTCTGCCTCCCGGCCTGATTGTCTCCTAACTGCCCCCCGCCAGCCTGATTGCCCTCTAACTGCCCTCCCCTGCCAGCCTGATCACCCCTTAACTACCCTCCCCTGCCAGCCTGATAGTGCCCTAATTGCTCCCCCCTGCTGGCCTGATCGCCCCTAACTGCCTCTGCCTCAGCGCCTGCCACCGTGGCTTTGTCTGGAAGAACGTCTGGTCTTATTAGCATATTACCCTTTTATTAGTATAGATTGTTAATACATGTGGAATTTAATTTGGTGTGAGGTGAGTATGCAACATAATTCTTTTTCTATTTTTTTTTCATTAGCCAACTATTCCTCCTGACATTTATCAAAGATTTCATCCATTCTCCACTGACTGAAATACCACCTTTTGTTATGTACTAAATATCCATATATACTTAGTTTTGTCTTTGTATTCTGTTCTGTTCCAGATTTCTTTGTTTATTTCTATCATTTTAACAAATGCAGCTTTTTATTATGAAGTAGATCAGGACTTTCCTCATTATTCCTTTTCTTCTCTTAAAATTTCAAAATGTTCAGTGTCTTCAAGATTAAGTATGAATTATTTTGTCAAGCTTTATAAGAAATCAAATTGGAGTTTTTGACAGAAACTGCTTTAAATTTATGAATTAATTTGGGGAAGAAATAAACACTGAAAATATTGATTGGCCCATTTAGGAACTTTATAAGTGGCTTTCATTTTATTCATACCTTCTTCCATGTCTCTAAAATAAGGTTTTTAAGTTTTCTTTATGTAGGTCCTATAAATTTCTTGGAAGTTTATTCCTGAGTATTTTATCTACTTTGGTTTGTGATGATATCTTTGTTCTGTTTTTTTGTCACATATTAAATTCCTTCATGCAGTAGACACCTTTTTGAATATTTTGGTTTTGTATATTTGTTGATGTTATCATATTCTATATTTATATGTATTGAATATCTACATGTATTGAATCTTCCTTTCCTCACCACTATTATAAGGGCATTTATCTTTACTTATTTTGTTTTGGTAATCACACCTGCTTTTCTTCCAAATTAACTTCAGTGTCACTATCAAGTTAAAAAAACTGTTGGAATTTTAACCATAATTGCATGAAGTCTAAAAACCTTTTTGAAGGCTTGCCATCTATAGTTTTTCTTTCTCTTCTAAGAACATAATGCGTACATACTTTGAAAATTTAGGAGTTTATAATTTGAATATCTTTGCCATATATATGGAGTATTGGCAAACTAGATTTGGCCTGACTTACCTAAAGGGATTTCAGAGATCTTCTTGTATTTGTCAGAAGTGAAGATGACCAAAGTAAAAAGACTCCCATAGATTGGTATTTCCTGAATAACATGAGAAAGTGGAATTTGAACTAGAAATGGAATTTGGGAAATAGGGAAATATTGCAATTTCATCAATTTGCTCTTTTGTCCTTAAAGTTAGCAATCTTCCTGACCACTGTTAGGTACCTGATAAGGGAGACATAAATGAGGATATAAAAGGTTTCTGATAAGGTTTGTAAGCTAGCCAAACCTTTTATTTTTCTGTGAACTTTCTGCCAGTCATAAATGATAGAATTTTCTTAATTAGGGGAAGTTCAATTCTTACAAGGTGGCTTTAGAACACTGGACTCCCAATCAGTGCCCCCAAGTGACATTGGAGACCCAGAGACATGCCAAATAATTAAAGCAGGTATTTCATGTGATTAAGTCTGCACCTACATCCTTTTTCTTGGTCCTGCTGTGCAGGTGGCTTATTGCACAAACTGGCTTTTCTGCCTCTCTTTCACCAAGTTACCCCGCGGGCTCATTGGGGCCCTGCTTTTCATCTATTATCTCTTTAACTGTGACTTTCACCAAGATGGGAATCAATTAAAACTTTCTTTTGCAAATTCCAGAGTACAGGATATGGATGCTTTGAAGTAAATTGCTATTAGTTTTTTAAATTGCTGCTTTAAAGCCCCCTTTTCAAGTGATATTTGAGTTTGGAAAGCTAAATTTTGAAGACAGAATTTTAGTAAGTATGAAAAAAACCCATAATAAGATGCTGGAATTTTTCTGATGCATTTTAAAGGATGTAATTGAATTGTTAAGTTTTCCCATCAAAATAATGAAATGATGCCCTAGCTGGGTAATTCAGTTGGTTGGAGCATCCTCCCACACACCAAAAAAATAAAAAAGATTTCCGGTTGGATTCTCAGTCAAGGCACATACCTAGGTTTCAGGGTCCATCCTCTGGAGGCAAACTATCGATGATCGGTGTTTCTCTCACATCTCTCTCTCACTCCCCCTTCCTCTCTTCCTCTCTCTAAAAATCAACAAACATCCTCGAGTGAGGATACAAAAAATGAAATGGTGATAGAATATGGTTTATAAATAACTCTCTTAGCAGTTTTTTAATAAAATGTGCTCATTTTTGAAAAATAATCTACTGAAAGCAAATTTGAAAATTTTACATTGCCTTTTTATTCTAGGAGAAGTGTTTGTCTTAAACGATGGTGGAGAAGTTGATTTAGACCTTGGAAATTATGAAAGGTTCTTGGATATTAATCTTTATAAAGACAACAACATCACCACTGGGAAGATATATCAGCATGTGATTAATAAAGAGAGGCGTGGTGACTACCTGGGGAAAACAGTACAAGGTATTGCATTCCACAGACATTAGGGAGCCCTGTGTGCTGAGCACCCACACCCTGCTCAAAACAGATGAGACAGTGAGGAGGTCCCTGCACTCTACAAGTTCTAATGCTCCTCAAATCCCTGTATTCTTTTCTTTTTCATTTTCCTTAAAGATGTCAAGTTCATCCTCCGAGTTCCTGATTTATTTTCTTCAGTCTTTTCTCTTTTTTACTAATGCTATTGTTTCCCTTAGTCAATCTCTCCCCACCCCTCTGTCTCTCATTCATTCATTCATTTATAAAACCTATGGCGAACCATTTATTCATCTTTTTTTGCATGATTAGGGTGTATTTTTTGGTTTGTTTTTTGTCTTTTTTTTATTGAATGTGTTATTTTTCCTTGTATCTTTGCATGCATGATGATTATTTCCCTTTGAGGGAGGTCAGCTTTGGAGAGGGACTGGGGGATTGAACTGGAGTGGCAAGTAGCATGGTCTGACCTTTTTTCACCAACCCTTTCCCTGGATAGTATTGTTCTCTTTTGTCTTAGAAAAGATCCCCTCCTGGTACCTCTGAGGTTTTGTATTCATATGTTCCTACATGGTAGGGTAAAGGTGATAATCCCCATCCCCTTTAAATCACTTTCATGTTGGAACCAATTGAGAAATAGGACAGATAGAGATCAAAAGAGCAACTATATTATTGCCGAAATTGGACATTGTGGCACAGATCTCCAGTACAACTCTGTTTTCTAATAGTTTTCCCCCGAGTTTAGGCCTTGGGAAAACCTGCAGGAGGGAGAGTCACTGCCTCATATCTGCTATGTCCCAACGATGGAGGAGAGGGCAAGGCCCAGACCTGGGTCCTGAACCCTGATCCCTGTGCTGCTGGCATGGAGGCAAAACCCGGCCAACCTCATCCTTCCAGAGGGGGTGGGCCAGGCATGCCCAGTGGTCCTTCCAAACGCACCAATCAAAGACAACTTCCTCTTGCCTGCAGACTCTCCGGGTGTAAGGTGGAGCAGGTGACGGATGCACCTTCGCCTCAGCTTCCTGGAGGCCAATGTTCCTACTTCCAGCCATCACATTAGGTTAGGTGGCTGGGCTGAATCCTCCTCTTCAGTTGATATCACCAACTGCAGGCTGCTCACCACCCAAGGGACTCCTGGGCCTCACATGCTTATGGAGATGTCACCGTTTATCCTCTTCAGCTGACATTAGCATTCGCTGGCGCCTGGTCAGCAGGCATACTTTGTCTATATCCTCTTTTTTTAAAAAAATATATTTTTATTGATTTCTTACAGAGAAGAAGGGAGAGGGATAGAGAGTTAGAAACATCGATGAGAGAGAAACATCGATCAGCTGCCTCCTGCACACTCCCCACTGGGTATGTGCCCGCAACCAAGGTACATGCCCTTGACCGGAATCAAACCTGGGACCCTTGAGTCCACAGGCCGATGCTCTATCCATTGAGCCAAACCGGTTAGGGCTCTATATCCTCTTGAGTGTCCCCCTCCCCATTGGCTGGTGGTCTGGCCCCTCTGGGTCCTTCCTTCCTGTGGAACCTAGCATTCAGCATCCTAGGCAGCCCTCTTTGCACAGTTTTTCATTGGCATTATAGGTGTTTTCTAGTTGCATTGAAGATGGCATTTCTGCTTTCTGTTTCTTATTCTCTGGGGTTGGTCGGTTTCAAGAGAAAAGGCATAACATTTAAATGAGTGAACCTAAATTGCCCCTGCAGTATTAATTTCAGTGAAGAAAGATGATAGCATTAGGACTATAGCTTGTCTGATTTGCCAGGTGGCTGTCAGGCTAAAGATCGGATACACTGCCTTTTCATGACCATGAAATAAGCTTTTGTACTAATTACTTCTTTCCGCAGTTGTCCCTCACATTACTGATGCTGTCCAGGAGTGGGTTATGAATCAAGCCATGGTACCAGTGGATGGTCATAAGGAGGAGCCCCAAATATGTGTTATTGAGGTAAGCACGGAACATTTCTTTATAAACTTACTAGAAGCCCAGTGTGTGAAATCCCGCAGCGCCGCCCATCCGCATGTGCCTCGCCGTACTTATAGCCCTGCCCACCTGTGCCGGTCTTTGGTCATTATGGTGTTAGGGCCACAGGCCTTTTATAATATAGATGTCCTTCTAGGTTTTTAACCATCTGATCTCTATTCATTTGACAAATATATAAAGATGATATCCTGGGTGCCAGGAACTGGGCTAGAATAGATAGTTCCTGCCCTTCTGGTCCCAAGTCAGTGGGCAAGATTGTCATTAAACAGGGTGAGTACTCCTGGGGTGGGTGTGCAGCAACCTGCATGCGGAGACATCAGTTGCACATAAGGTCAGTGTTAGGGCCTCCTGTGTGCCAAGCCTGGGATGGGCAGTCTCTGGCCTTGAAGAGCCTGCAGACCTCCCTGTCCTCATACAGCAGAATGCATTCTAGTGAGTATTATTTGAGAAGTATTTTCAAAATACATTGGGAGTAGAGAGAGATGGACTTATGGAAGTGTAGTGGTAGAGGTGATTTGAAGGTGAGTATTAGCTGTTTAAAGAAAGAACATTGGGGGCGAGAGGGGGGGTAAGAGATCAATCATAGGGCATGTATGCATGCATATAAGCATAATTAATGGACACAGACAGTAGAGGGTGAGGGCATGTGCTTGGGGTGGGCGCAGCTGGGGAGAGGTCAATGGGGGGAAAAGGAGACATGTAATACTTTAAAAAATAAATAATTTAAATTAAAAAAATGATACCATATATGGACAATCCAGTAAAAAAAGAAAAGAATAAAGATATTTCCTACCGCCCTAACCGGTTTGGCTCAGTGGATAGAGCGTTGGCCTGCGGACTCAAGGGTCCCGGGTTCAATTCCGGTCAAGGGCATGTACCTTGGTTGCGGGCACATACCCAGTGGGGAGTGTGCAGGAGGCAGCTGATTGATGTTTCTTTCTCATTGATGTTTCTGACTCTCTATCCCTATCCCTTCCTCTCTGTAAAAAACCAATAAAATATATTTTAAAAAGAAAAAAAAAGATATTTCCTACCAAAAAAAAGAGAAATATTTGATTTGTATTTAGAGTTCAGAAAGTTTAGTTGAAAATAGATTAATATTTACAAGTTGTTCCAAACATACTTCAGAAGTTTTCCAATAACTGAATTGAGTATTTTAAATTTTAATTAGCTAAAATAAATAAAATTTAAAATTCAAAAGAAAGAACATAATACAGGGTGGGGCAAAAGTAGGTATACAGTTATGAGTACATGAAATACAGTTTATTCTTGTATTATTATTTGTTTTTATATTATTTTCCTTACAGACAACTGTAAAGCTACTTATGCTCCACCCTGTATTTGAACTTGCCAGTTGATGTTCCCCTTCCTATCAATGTGCAGATTGAGAATGACGTCCAGGCACCCCTATCTAAATGTCAGTTGATCTGATTGATAGTCAGGAGAACAGAATAATGAATAGCATAGTTCCTAAAGTCAGACTGCTCAAGTTCAAATTTCTGCGGTGACCCCTGAATGGTATATAGTTCAGTGGTTAGAGTCTGGAGCCATATTGCTTGCGTTCATAGTCCAGTTAGGTCATTTACCAGTGGGGTGACCTTGGACAAGTTTGCTTACCTTCTCTGTGCCTCAATTAACTCATCTGCTAGATGAGGACAATGACACTACTTAACTCATTGTTTTGAGGATTAAATAAGTCAGTATACTTAGTGCTTAGAATACTGTTGATCTATACTAGTAGTATGTGCTCAACAATTATTAGCCATTATTAAGGTGCCCGTGTGACATTTGGCAAATTACTTCTGAAAAATTCAATGTAGTCATCTATAACAATATGATAATAATGTAATATTGTAATAGTAACAAGATGGTAACAGGGTTGTTGTGAGGATTAAATGGGATAATATAAAGCATTTGGCAATGTCTGGCATTTAGGAACTGCTTAATAAACATATGTTAGCTGTTATTGTCATTATTAGCAGGTAGATATTATGCCATCAACAAGATCAATTTTGTTAATAGAGGTGATAAATGTAACATAATGTGCTATACTATCATATAATAACTACTAGAGGCCTGGTGCACAAAATTCGTGCATGGGTGTGGTCCCTAGGCCTGGCCTGTGATTGAAACATGAGTGTCTGGTGTGGAAGGGCAGGTCCTAGCTGACTTCTGAGCCCTGGGCAGCACCTGGGCCCCTGAGCCCCTGCACACACTCCTCCACCTGAGTCACGGTGCCTGAGTCCCCACGCAGAGATGCAGTGAGCATGGCCAGATGTGGTGGGCTGGGGAGCAGCATGGGCCTCTGGGCTGCCCAGTGGTGCCCCATGGAAGCTGGGAGGCAGCGTGCTCTCTCCTGGCCGGCCTGTCCGACCAGCTCCTGAGCGAACCCGTGGGGAGCCCGACCGGCCCCTGCAGTCCTGGCAGTTGTGGCCTGGGTCATCCAGAAGAGGCCGCATAGGTGTGGGGTGGGCTCCTTGTGGGCGCCCAGAACCTGAGTGCCCACTGCCAGCGCCGTGTTGCTGATGCCCGCCATGTTCCACGCCGCCCCCTGGTGGTCAGCGTACATCATAGCGAGCAGCTGAACTCCTGGTGGAAGGACCGCCTGAGGGGACAATTTGCATATTAGGCTTTTATTATATAGGATACTGTACTAAATAGTATGGCTGATAAACTTAATATAAATACATAAGTGTGCTCTACAAAATTATTTCTCTCTTGGTATTTCTTCCTTCACAATTTATGAGGAAAGAGGTAATATTTTCTTTATAGTTTTTAAAAGATGGAGTGTAACTTAAACACAGAAAAGTGTGCATATAGATGTATAGCTTGGTGAAGTTTTGCAAATTAAACACACCTGCATAATTAGGCTTACTTTCTTTAAAAATATCTGAAATCTAATACAGTGAGTAGTTTGCAAACAAATGGAGCAACGATAAAGACCAACAGTGTAAGAGAAGGGCAGGTAAAAGCTCCAGGAAGATACCATCTGATATGAAAACTGAGCTGTAACCAGGGCATAGCTTGACTTTACAGTAAAGGAGACTTACATAGCCACTCTATTTATTGATTTTCAGTTTTCAGAGTCAATCCCAGGATGCATTAGAGAAGCCTTAAAAGCAGGGATATAGATGTCATCAGCTTTCAAGGAATGATTCGTGATGTAGAGGCGGTGGAAGAGTGCTGGAGGGGAAGGAGGGAGATAAGAACTTAATTTTACACTGTGATGCATCCACAGATACTGTTATGCCCTGCTCAATGATGGGGATACATTCTATACGTTCTGAGAAATTTGTCGTCAGGCAATTTTGTCATGCGAATACATAGAGTGCACTTACACAAACATAGATGGTATAGCCTACTACACACCTAGGCTATGTGGCATAGCCTATTGCTCCTAGGCTACAAGCCTGCACAGCCTGTTACTGTATGAAACAACACAGGATTAAATCAAGGACAAGAAAAAATGATGCAATCAAGAAACCCAGTAAACACGAAATGTATGAGGCTACTGCTGACATAACACAACATAGTGTTTTACAGCAAACATTTTTTATAAGTAGAAAGTGTAGACTCTAAAATAACAATAAAAAGTCTAGTATACTAAATACATAAACCAATGACATAGTTGTTTATTATCATTATCAAGTATTTTGTACTATACCTAATTGTGTGTATAACATAATTGATCATCTGTGTACACTACAAAGTGATCACTCCTAAAGTCTAGTTACTATCCATCACCCTTTCATTCCATGCCCCCGTGCCCTGTGGTAACATCTATTTTCTGTATTTATAGGTTTGTTTTTGTTTTGTTTTTTGTATGTGAATTTTTTCATATGAGTGAGGTATTTGACTTTTTCCTTTTGCCTTATTTCACTTAGCATAATACCTTCAAGGTCCATCCATATTATCACAAATAGCAAGATTTTATTCTTTTTAAATGGCTGAGTAGTATTCCACTGTGCGTGTATATCCATTCATTCATTGACAGACCCTTTCTTTTAGTTTTTATAGGTGAAAGAATAGCTTTTTCTTAAGATTATTAACTTAGTCACAAAAAAGTTCCAAATGGTCACGTGTACGAATGTTTTTGCCTTTTATTTTCTGATTCTGCTCTTTTAAAAAAAATCTACATTTACAATGATATACATGAATAGGTAAAAGTAACTTATGGTGTTAGATGTCAGGATAGTGGTGACCTTTGGAGAGGAGGGAGGTAGTGATTGGGACGGGGCAAAAGGGAGGTTTCTGGGATGCTGATAATGTAATTCTATTTCTTGACCTTGTTGATGGCTAAACTGAAAATTCTTCAAGTTGCACACTTACAATTTGCACACTTTTTCAGGTATATTATACATTTAAAAAAAATCTACATTTAAAATAATAACCACAAAAAAGAGAAGGGGAAATCATTTTTTAATGTAATTGAGCTGCTACCAAACGTCATTAAAATATAAGCTCAATTTGACCTTGAGACGAGCCTTCTTTTTTTAAAAATATGGGTTTTTTTTTAAATTTTAGAGAGGAAGGGAGAGGGAGAGAGATAGAAACATCAATGATGAGAGAGAATCATTGATCAGTTGCCTCCTGCATGCCTCACTCTGGGGATTGAGCTTGCAACCCAGGTATATACCCTGACTTTGAATCAAGCCGTGACCTCCTGGTTCATAGGTCAGTACTCAACCCCTGAGCCACACCAGTTGGGCAGGATGAGCCTTCTTAACACTTCTTTTTCATCTCAGCTTTTCTAGCCATTGTTTTTTGAGAATCATCTTTGAACAAAGCTTTTATATTTCACTAGAGGCCTGGTGCACAAAATTCATGCACAGGTAGGATCCCTAGGCCTGGCCAGTGATCAGGGCCAATCAGGTTCCCCACCTCCCTGCTTTCCCACCTCCTCCTTCCCTCACTTCCTCAGCACCCCATAGCCACCTCTGATTGCCCACCATGTTCCATGCTGCCTCCTCGTGGTCAGCGCACGTCGTAGCAAGTGATTGAACTCCCTGTCTCCTGGTTGAACTCCTGAGGGGGCACTTTGCATATTAGCCTTTTATATATATAGATTCTGGGGCTGACACACCTGACTGTCATCATTTTACAAGAAGTATGCTATAGAGTCAGACTATAATTGTTAAAGATTCCACTTGCACAATGAAATAAAAAATTCTCAATGACATCTCAAATTAAACCAAAGTTTCCATCTCAAAAAAACAACAAGCATACATTTTAGGCCTGTACCTGCACATTGTTCTTTTTTGTTCCATATCTATATTCTCAATTTTTAAAATTCTGCTCTTGAGTTGATTTGTTTGGCTTAATAAACATTAATTAAGCACTTCAATACGTACTAGCTCCATGATAGCTGTGAATATGATGAGACAATGACTCCTGCTTTCTAGGACTTATTGTCTCAATTTTTAATTTCATGGAAACAGATAAACTGTGCCAACTTGTCCCCAGAGAAACTCCTTTTTTATATAACCCTGATGTTTATATTTGCTTATTGGGCACTAGGTCAGACATACTTTTGGGTTTAAGTTGTGTGCAACATTTGTGTGTGTGTATGATTTAAGCTTTCAAAGAACTGCCAAAGCTAACTTTCAGTTTTAAGGGTATAGAAGCATTTTTGCGTTGAGGCCTCGACTTCTCAGACCTGTGGAGCTGACAGGCTGTGTTCATGTTAGTGCAGGTTGTCTAAGCGTGAACCTGAAATAATTTATGCATGGTTTAGAGGAGTAAAGGTTCTTCCCTCCCTCCCTCCCTCCTTCATTCTTTTGTTCCTCTCTTTTTAAGAAAAATATATTTTTATTGATTTCAGAGAGGAAGGGAGAGGGAGAGAGAGATAGAAACATCAATGATGAGAGAGAATTACTGATTGAGCCTGCAACCCGGGCATGTGCCCTGACTGGGAATTTGAACCATGACTTTCTGGATCATAGGTCGATGCTCAACCACTGACCCACACAGGCAAGGCTCGCCCTCCCTTCCTTCTTTTCTTCCTTCCTTCCTTCCTTTCTTCCTTCCTTCCTTCCTTCCTTCCTGCCTGCCTGCCTGCCTGCCTGCCTGCCTTTCCTTCCTTTCCTTCCTTTCCTTCTTAAAAGAGAAGACTCCTTTCCTTAAAGGCAAAATGGACATTACACATCTTATAAATTTGCTGTTGCTTCAATTTAAGCTTTGCATAGATTTCAAACTATTGTTATGGGTGCTATTTTCCCTATTATGTGGGGGAAATAATTAATTTAGTACTATTCTAATATGATAATGCCGAGCCAGAGAAGTGGTAATGGGACCCTCCAAATAGATGGAGAGAATGCAGTACCACTCCATGCCACGTGAGGGCAGAATCAGATAATGTTTAAAGTTTTGCTTCCTTTTCCGGATTTCCTGTTGACTCCCAGTACACCCCCATCAAAAAAGGAGATGTCTCCTTAAGGTTTAGTTTAATGCAGACCTCTTTTTTCCTAAAAAAAAATTTTTTTCTCCCCCATTAGATTGTGCTGCATTGTAGTTAATGAGCACTTACACCCTTCACCTCCTGCCAGTTTCCTGATTGCATGTGATATTTCTTGGATTTTCATAATTAAGATTGTCATTCTTTTACAGAATTATCATATATTTCTGTCTGTTCCATACCCAGGAAACTTGAATTTTAATTGTGTTTTGTTATCTGAGTAATCTGAGTTAAAGAAGAATTTCTTTTGTAGCAATGAAATCCCTCCCTCCCACCCTCTGTCTGTTTTTCCCTCCCTCCCTCCTTCTTAGTTTGATTCCATTGTCATTATGAAAACAGGTACTAGAATGCTGTTACCTAGGGCTTATATTGAATTTTGAGACCCTCTGTCCTGTCCTGACCATTAACCTAAGCCCCCAGTGCTGCATGTAGTGTGCTGGGCTTGTGCTGGAGATACGGCAGGCACGTTCCTGCCCTCATAGGGCTTACAGCCTTAGTAGGGTAGAGAGACAGGAGACAAGGACTCAGATAAAATAATGGTACCTTATACTGAGTTATCAGGAAGGACACAGGCAGGGTACTGTGATGGGGGCCATCGAGAGAGTGGCTGCTTTAGGTGAGTGGTCAGGGTCCGGCTTTCTGAGGAGGACATAGTTCCCTGGGCTGAAGCATAAAAGGGAGATAGATGAAGAAGGGGCAGGAAGGAGAATGAGCCCGTCTGAGAGGCCAGTGGGGCCGAAGTACAGAGTGAGAGGTTGGGGCATGAGATGAGATTAGAGATCCGTGCACGGGCCAGATCTAGAAGGGCCTTTGTTGGCTACATAAAGGAGTTTAGGCTTTATTTTTAGTGAAGCAGTGTGTTACTCTAAGCAAGGGGTTGGGGGCATATTTTGAGTTTTTTAAAGGTCATTCTGCTGGTGTGGGACAAATGGTTTGATTGCAGGACAGGAGAGAGTAGAAGCTGTGGGCCCTTAAGATTTGGGGGTCTGCCACCTCTTTTTGTAAAGGGCCAGATGAAAAATATGTTTAGCTTTGCAAGTGGGAGAGTCTTTGTCAATGTCAACAGCTACTCAAGTCTGCCATTGTAGTGTGAAAGCAGCTATATGCAATATGTAAATGAATAGGCATAGCTGTGTGCCAATAAAATTTTATATATAAAGTCAGGCAGCAGGCCATGGTTTGCCACCCCCTGGTTTAGATTATTGCAGTAATCCTGGCAAAAGATGCAGTAATTCTAGCTTGAACCAGTGAGTGGGAAGAGATGCTATTTGCTGAGATGAAAAAGCACCCAGCAAAACAGGGCCAGAGGTGCTGGACCAGGGGTTCAGTTTGGGATGTGGTAAGTTTGGGTAGTTATTGATCAATCCGAGATGTCAAAGCTGGTTACAAAGCCCAGGTGATCTCTTCCTCCTCAACACCCAGATCATTTCACTTAGTGCTTAAGTTTTATTCCTGATTATCGTTCTTTAGTTCTGCCTTATTTCCCCTTCCTAAATTCTGAGCTCCTTAGGAACATGTTGTCTTAAAATCTTCCAGCACCTCATTTATAGTGTTGAGCATGTAGTAGGTGCTCAAATGCTAGAGAATTCATTTTAAAATCCATGCGACAGTCTTTAAGCATTTAAATATGGTGAGGATGAATGGGTTAAGGTGAATTTCATCCCAGTCTAAAGTAAAATACTTAAGTAACTATTGAAAGCACATTACATATTAAGTTAACATTTATCAAAGGATTACATTATCAGGAATATTCTCAGGGCTTTTTGTACTGCTCGTTTCAGAAAAGCAGCATGTTTAAGAGTAGTGATTTAATTCTGATTGTACCACCATTACAAGGAGACTGTTCAGATGCATGCAGGTGTGTGTGTGTGTGTGTGTTCCTTCATGGAGAGAGAGACAGAATGAGACACACACACAGAGAGAGAGAGTTAGAGTGACACAGAGAGAATGCTCACTATTTCACACCAGGAAGAGCCAGGTGGCTCTATATTCTGGATCTTTTTGTCTGCTAATGAATTGCCTTCTCTTTTCTTAAAGCCCTCCATTTTATTTTTAACATTTTCAGTCTTGATGACATGAAGGGTTAACAGCCTTATAATGATCCCCCCTTTGTGGGGGGGGGGGTTGTGGTAATTTACTAGTCTGTATAATCCAAGTGAATCAACGATAGCATGACTCGTTTATTTAATTTTATCCATATCTTCACAGAACAGGCAGAGAGATCTTACATACACAGGATTAGATCATCCTGAAAGCCCTCCTCGCCCTTGCTTTCTTCCCCTCTTCTTGAGGCTCTGCTTACTCTCTTTCCTGTTTACCTGCCTTGGTTACACTCCATCTATTTTTTTTTTGAACAAAAAGTAATCTTTATATAAACTATTAATAAATACCTAATACAATATGGCTTTTAAAATGAAATCATGTGTATGTAGTTGTATTTATACAGATAAGTATACTAATCAAAAGCTATACAACATTAACAGCAAATCCAAATGTGAACTAAGATATTCTTCTGAATTCTGTTTCATTGAGCATCAAAAACCACCAATCTTTTAGTCCTTTTCTTGTACATTATTCTGCATCCACATTCTCTGCATCTGATTGGATCCCTGGATTTTATTTCATTTTCTGCGTGACATTCATTGGCTGCTGCTTTGGGAGTTGGACATCCTTCTGGGTGTCCATTTTTAATCTTTAGCACCGACACACTCCTCTCTCTGTGATTCCAAACAGACTACAGCATCTATTCTTTTTTTTAAACTTTATTGTTGACACTATTATAGATGTCCCCATTTCCCCCTTTGCCCACCTGCATATCCCTTCTTATTTTATTTTCTAGTCTCCATTTTCTCTTTCCTTTGCTTCATCTCCCTTTATTTTATTTTTAAAAAAATATTTTTATTGACTTCAGAGAGGAAGGGAGAGGGAGAGGGAGAGAGAGATAGAAACATCAATAATGAGAGAGAATCATGGATCGGCTGCCTCCTGCACGCCCCACACTGGGGATCGAGCCCACAGCCCGGGCATATGCCCTGACCAGGAATTGAACCATGACCTTTTGGTGCATAGGTCGATGCTCAGCTACTGAACCACAATGGCTAGACCAATTTACATTATTCCTAATTGGCAAAATTGATTCGGTTTTCGAACAGCCATCTGGAACAAAGTTGGAGAAATGAGGTTCCACTGTATTTACAAACATCTGTTCTTGTGTCACCATAAATTTCTGCTTAGCTTATTAAGACTTTTTCTATTAGTTTGTGTAACATGGAAGATCACTTGTGTCTTTTTTTCCATTTCCAGTTGGGTGGCACCATTGGAGACATTGAAGGAATGCCATTTGTGGAAGCATTCAGACAATTTCAGTTTAAGGCAAAAAGAGAGAATTTCTGTAACATTCACGTTAGCCTTGTCCCACAGGTGAGCTTTCCAGATAAGTATAGACAGCAACTTCTATAAGTTTTCTTATGATATTCTGTTTATTCCATATTTTAGCTAGGGATCCATTCACTATCAAGGAGAGCTAAATGTCCAAGGTACTAACAGTGACCCATTTCTTTTCAGCCCAGTGCTACCGGAGAACAAAAAACCAAACCCACACAAAACAGTGTTCGTGCGCTGAGGGGGTTGGGCCTGTCTCCTGATCTGGTGAGTTAAAGAGAGTGGATAAAGTTCTTGGCAATAGGACCTCCTTTTCTTAATCTATAACATCATCTAAGTCCTTTCTAGCTCTCAAATGCTTCCTATGACATTGACCTTTTTGTATCTGGGATCCAGGGAAGGGTACTCATCCTCAAGTGTCACTTCACACATTTCTAAATTGGCCATTGGTTCTTCTCCAGGCCCTCCTTTGATTGGCCACACTGACACCTGGTCAAGTGCAATGTCCTGCCATTTTGTATGGTCCCTGGGTCCTTGAGAGTGAGGTGGGACCTTGGAGATTTTCCCATGACCCTACTGGGATGGGCTATCACTGCTCTTATTTATAGCACGTAATCCAGTTATTACCAATAGTCTAGATCAGGGGTCAGCAAGTAAGGGCCTGTAGGCTTGTTTCCTGGAAAGAAATTTTTAAGACTTTTAAAATTGTAAATAAAGTTTTATTGGAACATGATACCATCCATTGTTTACATTTGTCTATATCTGCCTTTGCACTACAGTAGTACAACTGAGTAGTCAGGACAGTGACTGCATGGCCTGCAAAACCTAAACTATTTACCATCGCGCCCTTTAGAGGAAAAGTTTGCCAAGCCTGGTCTAGCTCTGTTCTTGTATTTTTTATGTTTTTTAAAAAATATATTTTTATTGATTTTAGAGAGGAAGGGAGAGGGAGAGAGAGAGAGATAGAAACATCAATGATGAGAGAGAATCATTGATCACTGCTTCCTGCACACCCCACACCGGGGATCGAACCCACAACCCGGGCATGTGCCCTGACCGGGAATTGAACCGTGACCTCCTGGTTCATAGGTCAATGCTCAACCACTGAGCCACACTGGCCAAGCTGTTCTCGTATTTTTAAAGGAGTAACATCTGTGGCTTGGCTCTACTTATGAGAGACACCTTCACATTTCGAGTTCTTACTGGTAGAGTTGTGTTGAGTTTGATTATACTTGCTTATATTAGTGCTCAGGCGAGCTTCTAAAAGGCCAATGGAATGCCCAGAATGAACATGTACATACCTAGTCAAGTCTGTTGTAGCAAAAAGAAATTTATCTTGTGTCCTTCTGAAAACGAATGGTGGTGTGGATAGCTGATTCCTGCTTGCTGACCTGTGCATAACTGACTTTGACAGATCGTCTGCCGGAGTTCGAAGCCCATCGAAATGGCTGTGAAGGAAAAGATTTCTATGTTTTGTCATGTGAACCCTGAACAGGTTAGTGCTGCTCTTTAGATTTTATTGCCTTGCAGGTACTTCTGCTGATGCCAACGTTTTATGCCTCTTAAATCATCATATTACTTTTCACAGCATTTATGAAAACTCATATCCAGCCACGGCTCCCTTGCCTTTAAGTGAACAATCTTGAGACTCCTGATTCCTTAGATAGAGTGCATGTTTCTTTGCATAATTACTCCTTAAGTTGTAGGTATAAAATCAGCTGGGCTTTTTAACTCGAAGTCAAATCTCTAGAGAGAGAACCACTCCTGCTTATCATCTCTTTACCTTGTCTTTCTAGGACACTGACTGCTTTCACTTCGATTTCTCCTTGTAACTGCTACAGCTTAACTTACCACAAAGCACACATTACGTTGACATTCACCCGATCACTTCTGATTACATCAGCGCCCTCAGTTCAATTCATTGCTACAGAAACTGTACCATGATTTGGGCTTAGGTCCTATGTCCTGCCAGACTTCCCACCTAGGTATCTGAAAGTTAGCTTTTCTTTTTTCTTTCATTTTCTTTTTTTTTAAAATGTATTTTATTGATTTCTTACAGAGAGGAAGGGAGAGAGATAGAGAGTTAGAAACATTGAGGAGAGAGAAACATCGATCAGCTGCCTCCTGCACATCTCCTACTGGGGATGTGCCCGCAACCCAGGTACATGCCCTTGACCGGAATCGAACCTGGGACCTTTCAGTCCGCAGGCTGACGCTCTATCCACTGAGCCAAACCGGTTTCAGCTCTTTCATTTTCTTAAATCTGTCTCTTGTTTGCAGTAAGGCTCAGGCACAAGGGATCAGAGTTGGCTATAATTTAAAAAGTGATAATAACCAGTGCTCAGGAAGAGTGAGGTTTAGCAGAAACCTTTTGTTTTCTTCAGATAAGCTCTGAGCTCTCTAAAACCTAAAAGCTACCTAATCAGATTTCTGTATCTCAGGGGGCAGTTTGATGAAGAACCTACTGTCCGATGCTTAGGGTCAGTGCATATGTCGGAACTACTCTGAAAATGTGCTGGCAGGTTTAATGGGCTCCCCTGTGTTTTTATGTCGTCAAGCCATTTTGATTTTGTTCAATTTGTTTTTTGTACTCTTCCTATTGGTCAATAGTATTTTGTGTGTGTATTAAACACATATAACCTGGTTTCCTAAATAGACGGAGAATGTAATGACATCCAAACCTGAGTTTTTTTGAGCCAAATTGACAAATGCCAGGAAGCAAGATCTCAAATACTCTGGAGGACAGGTTTTTTTGTTGTTTGCGTTCTTTGTTTGTTCGTTTTTAATATATATATATATATATATTTTTACTGATTTCAGGTAGAGGAAAGGAGCGGGAGGGAGATAGAAACTTCAGTGATGAGAAAGAATCATGGAGAGTCTGTCTCCTGCACACCCCACACTGGGGATCAAGCCCACACCCGGGCACGTGTCCTGACTGGGAATTGAACTGAACCGTGACCTACTGGTTCATAGGTTGACGCTCAACCACTGAGCCATGCTGGCTGGGCTTAAGGAAGGACTGTAAGGAGGATTACATGGGGGTGGGAGAAAGCTAGGTGTGGATTGGATTACAGGGCAGTTAACAAGATCACATGCTCCCTTGAAGGTGGTTTTACCCCTGATGAGTCCAAAAAAGAGGGATTATTCTGGCATTTCAAAGGTATGTTAACCCAGAAGAACAATGGTCAGGGCTCGCTTAAGGCAAAGATAAACCTTTCACTAGGGAAGTTAATGGGCCTGAAATGTTAGGAAGTTGTGATCAGATCACCCTGTGAGGTTACTTTCGGTCACAGCTTGTTAGATTTAGAGCCCCTCTTTCATTCTCAGCTCTGAGAACAGATTTAGCTCAAACTTTCAACCATATAGTCTGTTTTCTATAACTAGAGATTCTGAAGAATGCTCTGTCCCATCAGTGCACAGGCCAGTGTATTAGCCATTTTCAGCACATCGTTTTCTCTGCTATGAGTTAATGCTCCCATTTCATAGTTGCTGGTGAATTTGCATTTAAAGCTCTCCTGATTGCGGTTGCTGAGGACGGGATGGAGAATTGGAGGTGTCTCTGTGGATGTGGCCCGTTACTATGACATTTGAAAACATATCTCTCTTGCCTGGAGGATGAGTAAATAGCAGTTGTGGTTGTCCAGAGATTTAGGGTTTTTTTTGTTTGTTTCTTTTATTTTTATTGATTTCAGAGAGGAAGGGAGAGGGAGGGAGAGATAGAAACATCAATGATGAGAGGGTCATTGATCTTGCTTGTTTCCTGCACACCCCCCACTGTGGATTGAGCCTGCAACCTGGGCATGTGCCCTTGACTGGAATCAAACCTGGGACCTTTCAGTCTGCAGGCCGATGCTCTATCCACTGAGCCAAACTTGCTATGGCCAGAGATTTAGTTTTAAATTGTGACAAAGCCTCATATCAGTGACATCTCAGCACTTTCAGTTGTTGGTGAATGCACAAGTGAGGCACACTAGTCTTAAGTATCAGGTTGATGATGTTCAAACAGCTTAGGAATCCCTGGTTGGAGAGCTACGGATTTGGGAAGACTGCACACATACTGTTGGCAGAACATTTCTTGGCATTTATTTAGGATGTGGCAGATCCTTAAGTGCCTGCCAGTAGCTTCTTGGATGTACTTGAGAGGGTGGTGAAAGCTCGTTAGGGTAAGTGTGAAAAACAACCACACCACCTGGCAAAGGAGCCATTCTCTTCTAAGAGGTGTAATTAATTTGACTGTGTTCAATGTGGGTTTGTAAATTTACCCACAAGAAGAAATCGGACAAAAGCAACTATAGCAGCCACAGCAGCAACAAATGAACGAACAAACAAATTACATGCCCACATTTAGGAGATAAGGTGTATGTATGTAACGCTGCTGCTTTAACCTAGACTTGGAACATGGTGCCTTGGGCCGTGTGTCTTGACATATAAAGAAGCATCCATGTTCCAACACCAATTCTCTGACAGCAGCTGGGGGTCCTGCAGTTCAACTCTGACACTAAGTACCCAGAGTGAGAGTCAGACTCCATAGGTTTATGGGCTCAGTCCTTCCTAAGACTGCCCTCACTTCAGACACCAGCCATAAGTTTCTAGTGTCCCCACCCACACTTCTGCTTGGCTGACTACAACCCTTTCAGGTCTGAGAATTCTCTAGAATGACACAGAATCAGGAAAGTGCTATATATAAAGGGTGCAAATGTACGGCGAGATGAGGTACATAGGGCAAGGCCTAGGAGGGTCCTGAGTGCAAGAGCTCTTATCTCCATGGAGTCAGGGCAAGCCACCCTCCCTCATACCTGTATATTCACCAGCTAGGATGCTCCCCAGTCTTCTTGTTTTTGGGAGTTCATTACTGGTCACATGATTGAACTCAATCTGTAGACACCCCTCTTCCCTCCCACCCCCATCCCCTCTCTGGAGTTCAGGTGGCTGAAAGTTCCAGCTTTCTAATGACTTGGTTCGTTTTTTCTGGTGTCTAACTCCCATCCTCAAGCCATCTAGGGGCCACCCTGAGTCACCTCATTAGCATAACAAAGATACCCCTGTCACTCAGAAAATTCCAAAGGTTTTTGAAGCTCTTTCAGGAAATGAGAACAAAGACCATATACTATATAGATGTATATATTTCTTATTCTACCACAGCATCCATGGTTCCAGGGGTAGAATAATGACTTCAAAGCATTTTGTAATTTGATCAAACTAACCTTGTGTTAATTCTGCCTCTGGTGTAGGTGGCTGGGTTCTTGGTTTTCTTCTATAAGTATAAATAAACTGCCAGACTCTTGAGTTCTGGCTTATTCTTGAGCTCATTCTGTGGCATATTTGTGTCATTCCACTTAAATATGGTGTTTTATCATCAACTAGGTCATATGTATCCATGATGTTTCTTCTACATACCGAGTGCCTGTGCTTTTGGAGGAACAAGGCATTGTTAAATATTTCAAAGAGAGATTGGATTTGCCCATTGGTGATTCTGCAAATAATTTGCTTTTCAAGTGGAAAAATATGGCTGACAGGTACGTAAAAGGAATTACTAACAATCTTTAATAATTCTTGGGTTTGGGGGTAGGACTGGCATGTACCTTAAAAGGTATGTTTCATTTGGCTTTCTGTATGTGTATGTTTTGTATGGATATGTTTAAAGCTCTAGCACATTGTTAGGATTTTTTACTGTATTCTTTGAAGATTTCTGGGGCCTTTGAGCATTTTGATTTATTTATTAGTTTATTTCTTAGTTTCTGGATATTTTATTTTATTTATTTTTTTAAATATATTTTATTGATTTATTACAGAGAGGAAGGGAGAGAGATAGAGAGCCAGAAACATCGATGAGAGAGAATTGGTTAATTTCTTATTTTTTTTTTAATTTTTATTTTTTATTACAAAGGGTATTACATATGTGTCCATTTTTCCCCCCTGCCCTAGACAGTCCCCTAGCCTCCCCTACCCCCCAGTGTCTTATGTCCATTGGTTATGCTTAAATGCATGCATACAAGTCCTTTGGTTGATCTCTTACCCCCCTTGGGGGGCAGGAGGTAGGGGGGTTAATTTCTTAAAGAAAATCCTTTTAAATGGGAAGTTTTGGCTATTTGTTATTGTCCCATCCCACATTTATTAACTATCAGCATCATTATTTTTTGTTGTTATTAATCCTCACCCTAGGATATTTTTCCATTAATATTTTTAGAGAGAGTGGAAGGGAGGGGGAGAGACACAGAGAGAGAAACATCAATATGAAAGAGACACATGGATTGGTTGGCTCCCACACACACCCCAGCCTGACCCAGGGATTGAGTCTGCAATTGAGATACGTGCCCTTGATTGAATTGAACCCAGAACCCTTCAGTCCACAGGCTGATGCTCTATCTACTGAGCCAAACTGGCTAGGGTGAGGTTTTGGGTTTGATCTCTGGTTGGGGCATGTGTAGGAGGCAACCAATCTATGTTTCCCTCACATATATGTTTCTCTCCCCTCTCTAAAATAAAAACAAAGTTCTCATCACAAGAAAAAATATTTCTGACTATATGTGGTGATGGATGTTAACTAGACTTATTGTGGTGCTCATGTAGCAATATCTACATATATTGAATTATGTTGTACCTGTAAAGCTAATATGATGCATGTCAATTACATCTAAATTTTAAAAAAATCTAGGCTTTGACATCAAACACCATGGATTCAAACCCCAGCTTCTCCTCTCACTAGCTGTGTGAGTTTGGGCAGGTTACTTAACCTCTCTGGGCTTTTTCTTCTAGCCATACATAACAGGAGGGTACTAGTACCTATATTGTGGCAATGAAACAAAACACATATGGCCTTAACATTGAATCAGACACTAAGAATTGATTACTGATGTTGGTAACAATAATTAAAATGATATGATGCTGACAAAATTATTGACCTTGGTAGATGACTAGTAGATTAAAGTTTCTTTGTCCTTTCACTAAAAAATTTGAAAAGTGTTTTAGAAAAGGGGACATATATAATACTTTCAACAATAAAGTATTATTTTTAAAAAGTGTTTTAGAATATCTGGGTCAGATAGAATCAGGAATAAAGTGTAGTTTCTGAGCTTTGGTACTCTTCTGAATGATGATAAATTAAACCCCTGCCCACCAGAATGCTTAAGGAATCAGTCACTTCGTAGGAATTTTTAGAGTGGCTTGGGGCTCATCCTCCTTAAGCATAAGACATTTTAGTATTGTAACTTTTTTTTTTAATCTTCATATGAGGACATTTTTTTCCATTGCTTTTCAGAGAGAGTGGAAGGGAGAGAGGAAGGGGGGGGGAGAATCATCAATGTGAGAGAGACACATCGATTGGTTGTCTTCTGCACATGCCCCGACTGGGAGTGGGGAGTGAACCTCCAACCCAGGTATGTGCCCTAGACCAGAAATCGAACCCTTGACCCTTCAGTGCATGGGCCGATGCTCTAACCATTTATCAACACTGGCAAGGGCTTGTAATTCTTTTTATTGGAAATAGCTCTAAATCAGAGGTCCTCAAACTTTTTATACAGGGGGCCAGTTCACTGTCTCTCAGAGCGTTGGAGGGCCGGGCTATAGTTTAAAAAAAAACTATGAACAAATTCCTATGCACACTGCACATATCTTATTTTGAAGTAAAAAAGCAAAACGGGAACAAATACAATATTTGTATTTGCATGTGGCCCGCGGGCTGTAGTTTGAAGACCCCTGCTCTAAATTATACTCCATGCCTCTGTGCTTTTTAAAGCCAGTGTTTGGTTTTTGTATTAGTTTCCTGTAGCTGCTTCTGCAAAGCACCACAAACTGGGTGGCTTAGAAGAGCAGAAATTTATTCTTTCACAATTGTGGAGGTCAGAAGTTCAAAATCAAAGCATCAGCAGGGTTGGTTCCTTCTGGGGGCTCAGAGGGAGAATATATTCCATGCGTCTCTTCTAGCTTTGGGGGCTGCCAGCAGTCCTTGGTGTTCCTTGGCTTGTGGCCACATCATTCCAATGTCTGCCTCTGTCATCTCATGGACTTCTCATTCCAATGTCTGCCTCTGTCATCTCATGGACTTCTCTATGTCTTCCCTACTTCTCTTCTTTTATAAGGATTCTTATCTTTGGATTTAGGGCCCATCCTAATCTAGGATGATCTTATCTTAAAATCCTTAACCTAATTGCATCTGCAAAGACCTGTTTTCCAAATCTGGTCACATTCACAGATTCTGGGGGGCTATTGAGCATCACCCTCTCTGCATCATGTTGGCAGTTAGTATGTTGGTTTATTGGTAATGGCAGTTTGGAGTGTTCATTCTTTAGCCCTTATTCCCTCAGGGCAGCCTGTAGAGCAGTGGTTCTCAACCTTCTGGCCCTTTAAATACATTCCTCATGTTGTGACCCAACCATAAAATTATTTTCGTTGCTACTTCATAACTGTAATGTTGCTACTGTTATGAATCGTCATGTAAACATCTGATATGCAGGATGGTCTTAGGCGACCCCTGTGAAAGGGTCGTTCGACTGCCAAAGGGGTTGCGACCCACAGGTTGAGAACTCCTGCTGTAGAGAGATACAAGGGGAAAACAGAGGTCAAAGGGCAGCTTTGACCATGAAGGTCCAGTGCTGCTCAGAGGCCAGAGGTTCCTCATTGAACTGAATGGGAGAGCTTGTGTGGCACCCAAGGCCAAAGTGGGGACAACCTAACCTCTCAGTAAGGGGACTTGCCTGTGGGGGATGACCCTATGACGTGGACCCCAGGCCTGCCTCCCACCAGCAGCTCACAGCAGGGTCAACAACCTGCCTCTCACACCCAGGTGATGGTTGAAAGACTATGAAGTAGAGGCTGGGCTGTGCTGGGCATTGCTCTATGAGCCTGG